TTACTGCAGAACAAAACCCATTGTGGAACTCTGGAGGTTGACTGTGCACATAATTTCTAGGGAACCCCTGATGGGCTCACTGCTGGGGTTTCATGTTTCAGATTGAAACCCAACTGGAGAGAGCATTATTCATTAATGCTGACACAGTCTGTCTCTGCCCTGTGTAGTTATTTCTCCCACCCTGGATGTAGCCCCTTATAGGCAATTTCGGGAATTCACTGAAAGCAATTCACGTTGATAGTCTGCACAGAATTCTAGAAGGTTAGGCTTTCTCGATGCTAGAAAGAGCATCACGCATCAGGTTTTGCCAGCTGTGCTCAGAGGCGGCGGTCCGAAAGGAGAAGGGGGCTGAGTGAGTGAGCAGGTTCAGAGCCCCTCTTCCCAGCCCCACCTGGCAAGAGCGCCTTCTGCATACGATTTCTGCAGCCTAAAAACAATCCTGAAATCCAGCAACCGAACCCATCCACTCATTCATTTCTTAGATGTGGAAACTGGCCCACTGAGGGGGAGGGTCTTCCTATCTAAGGTCCATCTGAGTTAGTGAATTGATGCCAGAATGAGAATCAGCACATGGGTCTCCGAACTTCTGTATACCCCACTGATTTCAGGCTGGAACATACCCCTGGGCTGCTTTTCCCATCGCCTGGCCACTGTCTTGTGGAAAAGGCTTTACCTAGAAGATCTACAGGAACATAAATGATTGCAGAAAACCCATAACAATATTGTGGGAGTCACACTCCCTTTTGACTAAGAGCCACCTCGGCCACACAATGCCACGGCGCCCTCTGGAGTTGTGCAGAGCACAACTTAAGAGACTGCAGAGAGCGGCCCGGTCTTGACTTTATGAATGTGAGGGCCCAAACTAAAATTGGGCTAGAAGGTTTTAGTTCAGCATTGAGCAAGAAAAAACACATAGGCTTCGGGGCAAGGAGATCTGTGCTCAAAGCTGGGCTTACCAGCCCTGGGAACATCAGCAAGTAAGTTGATAACACTCATCTTCAGCTTTTTTTTTTTAATTGAAAAATAGAGCTGGTAGTACCCAGCCCAAGAAATGTCGTGAGAAATTACGTGTAATAGTCTATGCGGAACTACTATGGAAAACGTATCAGGGATTTGATGAATGTTCCTTCCCTTATAACTTAACCTGTGGCTCCGATACACATACAGGTTTGAATCACAATAGAAACCAGGCATTTTTAAAGTTTATCCTTAACTTGGAAACTTCTGGGTTTTGTCACAAGCTTAACATTAACCAAATGAAATTTGGGGCATCTGTAGAGCACGGGCCTGTCTTAATCTTTTACAGAGCACTTATAAAACTGAGCATTTCCTGGAGGAATAGGGCTGTGGGTTTCTAAGAGAAAACTCTTTGAGGGAAAACTGGAAAGACCAAAAAAAAAAAATCAAGTCTTATTTCTTTGGCTCAAGAAGCCCTCGGGATGTCCTGGGGATTCAGAGTCCTAACACAGACGCTGGCAGTGAAATCAGAGCCCCGCATTGCACCAGCGACTTGGGTGTGCTTGGGACTCTTTCAAACCCTTCTTTATTTGCCATTCAGTCAGGAACCATAGGCCCAGAAGCTTGTTTTCAAAAATCTTGGAAAACAGATGTTTTTGCTTATTTTTCTCTCTCGTGCCAAAATGCTCACTGAGTTTTCACTGGGTCCTGCATTTGTCTTCTTTTTTTTTTTTTCTTTTTACTTTTCAGACAAATCTTGGGAAAGGGCCATTGTAAAATGAAGGGGAAGGATGGGCATCTCAAACTGGGAAAGCCCCGTGTTAGACGCTCCTGAAAATGGTTAGGATTCTGAAGGCAGGGAGGCCTAGGAGACAAGAGGAGGGAAGCGGACTAATTGACCTCTGAAAGGATCTACCTGGCCTTATCCCCATGCCTTCCTGGTGCCTCCGCGGCCGACTGTGAGGAGGAAACCAAAAGCATTGCATCCAGCTGGCTGAGGCAGCACGGCTGGGGCAGGGCTGTGTTGATTACACATACGCTGTGTACCAGCTGAGGCCAGTGCCCATCACAGTCCCTGTCTTTTATAGCCAGCTCCGCCATTTTAGGTACTGTGTCAGTGTTCCATTGCTACTGTGACAAATCACCACAGTGGCTTAACAACAACACATATTTATTACCTTACAATCTGTCGGTCAGAAGTCGGACATGGGTCTCACTAGGCTACCGTCCAGTTGTCAGCAGGGCATCATTCCTTTCTGGTGGCCCTGTGGGAGAATTCCTTGTCTTTCCTTATCTTTTCCAGCATCTAGAGGCAGCCCACATTCTTTGGCTTGTGTCCTTATTCCTTCACCTTCAAAGCCGGCAACAGCAGGTTGAGTCCTTCTGTTGCATCACGCCAATGTCCTCTTGTGTTTCCCTCCTCCACTTTCAGGGAAACTTGTGGTGACATTGGGCCCACCTACGTAATCCAGGCTAATCTCCCTAGTTTATGGGCAGTTGATGAGCTCCTGAACTCCATGGCAACCTTACCTCCCCTTTGCCATGTAAGGTAGTATATTTACAGATGCCAAGAATTCAGACATAAATATTCGTGGTGGGAGATTATTGCCTACCATAGGTACGGAAGTAATTTCTACACTAAATGCAATAACTGTGTACATTAGGATTCTTTCAGCTGCAAGAAACAGGATCTAACTCAAGCTAATAAAAAGAAAAGGTTTTTTCTGGCTTATGTATACAGAAGGAAAATGTGATTGGCTTCAGACTCCGCTGTATTCCTATGTTCAACAGGGTAGGGTCATCAAGGCATCCTGGTTTCTTGGCTTGGCTTTCTTTGTGGTGATTTGATTTTCAAGCCCAGGTTATCTGCATGGTGGCTAAGAGAACTCCCAGGCAATTCCAAGCTTACATAGTTCTCAAAGACGCAGGGCCCCAGAGAGAAAACCATGACTTCTTTTTCTGTAGCACCAGCAAAATTCTGAGGATGACTCTCATTGGCCTAATTTGGGCCATATGTACATCCCTAGACCAATCACTGTCCAGGGAGAGGCAATGCATGCTTCATTCCAGAGCAGGGAAGAGTCCGGCTTACCACAGCACCCGTGCTGAGTCGGGGAGGGAAAGGTTGCCCAGAGGAAATTCAGGTGCCATTACCAAAAGAAATGGAAATTGCTGAGCAGGCAACAACTGCTGGTGTCCATTCCTCCATCTTATTGCTCGATTTCAGAACCATGCCGTTGATATATTATTCCAGTTCAGAACCCATTTGGCTTCAGGCAACAAGGTACTCAAACCTGAAAGAGCACAGAAGGGGCTCACCCAGGGCAAGCAAGTTGTAAGTTAATTCAGGTAATATATGAGAATTGCCTGGTGGTTAAGAGTATGGGTGTTGGACCCAGACTGCTTGGGTTTATATCCAGTTCATTAGTTGTGTTTATTTGACCTCTCTGTGCCTCAGTTTACTCATCTGTAAAATGGGAGTTAATAGCACCCACCTCATGAGCTTGCTGTGAGGTTTAAATGTGTTAATACAAGGAAAGTGCTTAGAATAGTACTTTGACATAAACAGTCAATAAATAATAGCTTCAATAATAATTATTGTTATTATATTACCATTGTTATAAATAAGCTTCCTGAGGAAGGCTTAGGGACTTGGAACATGGTTAGGAACCAAGTCAGATGCTTACTTGGTTTCTCTTTTTCTAGCTGGGGCTATAGTCTCTTACATCTGGAACTTTCTCTCTCTTCTCTGAAACATCAGTGGGAACTGAGGTTCTCACCTGTAATGTGGATTGTCACATGGCTTTCAGTTGCCATCCTTTCACCTCTGGCCTAGACTATTCGTGTCCATCACCAAATGAATGCTGGGTCAGTGTTTCTGTATTCAGAGTTTTTAGATAATCTGATTAGTCTGACCCATGATTGTCTTTGTATAAGAATGCACCCTGTTTGATTAGCTGCGACTAACCACGTCACCTTGCGCACATGGTTACCTCTTTCAGTAGCCATGGAAGGGGCAGCTTAAGTTGAAGGGGACAGTTGTGCTAAACCAGAAAATTGACCAACTTGTCTTTTACATGTATGCCTAAGCAAATTGGAATTTTCCTAAAGAACAAAAGAATCGGTTTCAAAAAAAATAATGGTTATAGCTAGATGTTGGGGAATAGGACACCACTGAGAACTTCTTTGTTCTGATATGATTCAGCTGGTAGTATTTATGGAGGAAAATTGATCACTCCCCCATTATTATAAATAGTAGATCACTCCCCCATTAAAATAGTAGAGACATTTTCAACTCCAATTAGAAATGCTCATTGGATGGACAAAGATGCCATAGCATCAATCTCAGAACCTCATTCCTGGATTAGAAGTTCCTGAGAGGGGGTAATGCTTATATTCACTGTCAGGAGAGTGGATTCCAGAGTGACCGGGGATGTCCCCAGATATCTTCCCTTTGGTGACAGGAGGAAAATTCCACACTGGCTTTTTGTTCACTATGCCCCTTTTAATCTTTCAGAGCCCCCATATTTTTTTTTCCACCTTCTCTGTCCAGGGTATTCTCCCTGTACAGAGCTTTCTGCTTTCAGAACACTTGTCCTTTTCTCCCAGGACTTTAGCAAGAATCTTTCTGGTGAAGTGGTTTCACACTGATGAGGAGGAAGGCGTACTGATGATATTTCTCAGCTCTGAGGCCCTCCAGGAAGGGTGGAAATGCTTTGGATCTGGGCTGGGCATCTTAGAAAGCACTGAAGTTTGGGGGATGACGAAGCATTGTTAAGATTTTGATAGAAGTCTGCTGGGAAAGTCTCCACGGCAAAGGCTCTTGAACCCCTTTCTAGCTGAACAATTCGCAGGCGCCACATGTGCTTTCAAATGGGTTGGTTTTGAAGCAGTCAACAAAAAAGCATCCTGCTGCCAGGGCCAGCCATCAAAAAGAGCAAAGAGAGCAATGCAAACCGTGGGGGGATGTGCCAGAGAGAAATACTGCAGAGCAGAAACGAGGCTCTGCTGGCCTGATACCCTGTGCCTTATCTCCCCCAAAGGACCCCGTGGTTTAACGGATGGGGCTTTAACCTACCCAGAGGTCAGTCTCTGCTGGACAAGTGGAACCTCATCCCTGAGGGCATCGACATTCTCATGACACACGGACCTCCTCTAGGTAAGTGACGTAAAGGCTGTCCTTTTGTTGTACAAGATGCCTGTTTTTTTCCAAGCATAATGAATAAATGCTTCTGGAACATAATCATTTTCCTAAAAAAAAAAAAGTGAATGTAAAAAAAGAAAAGTGTCAATGTCTTTAAAGAAACCCAGTATGATAATTAAACTCAGCAGTTCTGCTGGGCGTACAGGTGTTCTTGAAATTAAATTTTTTGATTTAGTCAAGTCAGGGAAAATCAAATGAGTATGGAGCACCACAGTCCTTTGAGCTTGATAATTTATTTTAAGAACTGTGTTCACTTTGGACTAAGGGGATGGGGGATGGGGTAGGGAATGGAAGGAAGATGGGGGCATCCCAATCACAGGGCATTTGCATGGCAGTGAAATGATGGACACTTTTGTTCAAAGGAGCTAATTTTCCTCTTCCATATAATAGAGGAACCTGGGAGAGCTCCAAAGTTTAACATTTGTGCTGATTATACAAGAAATTATTATTATTATTATTATTATTATTTTGCTAAGACGTTAAATAAGGACTTAGGTTGAATGTTACTTAAAGATACTCATCCTACAGATACATTGCGCCTGCAACCAGGTTAAGATTACCAATGTGCTGCAAAGCTACCTTTAGTTACCGCGGTTATGTGTCAAAAGATGATTATTTGATTTACATAATTATCTTGTAATTATTCATGAGCTTGTTAGCAGTTTGGCTTAGCCATAGAACATTTTCCAAATGTTCCCCCTAAGACCCCCCATCTACTCAGTATCTATTATACCAGGACCTCCCTTGTCAAACTGAAGTGTGTTTAGGAAATTCAGATGTTTCACTTTAAGGAAAGTTTTCTTTCTCTCTCTCTGTCTCTCTCCCCATTTTTTAAAAATTGTGTGTGTGTGTGGGAAACACATACCCTCTTAACAAAATTTTAAATTGTACTAGACAAGTTCTCTTGATCATCTTGATTTGGGGGTGGGGGAGTGGAAATGCTTAATACAAAAATCAATGATTTTCACAATATTTTTTTTTCCTGTGGATTGGGGTTGTTATCCATGACACTTTCCTCCTGTGTCAGCCTGAAAAATAAAAAAAACACTAATGTGCATCCTCTAATGTGAATTTAGTCTGTATAGATAGTGCTGCTTTTCTGCCCTCACAAGGGAAGTGCTGTGTTTTTCACAAAAATACAGCGGAAGGCAGGACCAGGGCATGAGCAGTGGTGGCACATTTTAATGCTAGGAGGAAGCAAGAGGCTGGGGGGGTGGGAGAGGGGGCAGTTCTTTTGCAGACAGGGAGATTGTATGGATTTGATTGTATGGATTTGCAAAACATCGGCACCTCCTGACTTTTCCAGCGTCTCATAAATCCCCATGCTTTTTCCCCACTCCATACCACCCCATCCCATGTTTTAAAAGATTATACTTATCAACAATATTTATCAAGTTATAATTAATTAATTTCCCTATTTTGCAATTGTTAGAGACTTAACTAAATCATCAGATTGCTAGCTAAATATTCTGATCAGCAGAATTACCCAGTGAGATCCCCCAGACGAAGCATTCCAGCCCACTCGATTTTTTTCCCTGAGCAGCCTGGTTGGTTGAAGGTATGATTCCTCTTAGCCTGTTTACTGTTAAGGACTTGGACATCCTCAGATAGAAACATTTACATGCCTGGAGTATTATTTGGAATTTAACTTGGAAAGATCATTTGATTCACAGACTTATCAAGTCATTAATTTTGATACAAAAGCAAGTGGCAATAACGGTAAGCCTTACTTCTAGCCTCCAAAGAATTCAGACATCCCAGCAATTCTTACTAGGGAGGCAACCGTTTGTCTCTTTGTAGTAAAGATGAATAGTCCAGAGAGTGGCTGTGCACAGAGCAGAGTAAGATCTGCATCAAGGACTGCCAAAATAAAAGGTCAGGCAAAGTTTTCATAAAGTCAAAGTGAACCTTCAGTCAGTACAGTTATTGGGATGCTTGTGAAAATCCTGGATTGGGAGGTGGGGGTGAGGGTGGGGATTGGCCTTGAATTTTCTCCTGCTGAGAAGGGAAAGCCGTCACACCACGGGACTTTACTATTACAGTATGAGCAAAATGCTTTCTCAGGTGATTGTATATGAAATGAGATACGTTATCCCCTTAAGAAAAACATGCCCGTGAGGAAATATGCCAATCACTGTGAATGAAGGACTTTTTCCTCTAGTTAACAAAGTTTTAAAACCCCTGGTTGGATTTTTATAGGGCCCCTACTTTCAGCTGATGTTCTTCCCAGACTCTCTGGCCACTCTCCACACCCCAGGTAACACGTCTTTACAGAGATGCTAAATCTTCATTTCTGCAGTTTCGCCAAAGTGGAATAAACATGTCTGTCCCTTTCTGCCTGATCATTTCTAAATAGCAGAACTCACCTAATGGAGCTATGGAGTGGATTGCCACTGATTATGATTTAGCCTTTCGTCCCACCTGCTTTCTTCCTACCTCATCCTGCTGAGGTGTATGGATTTCATTTCAGACCATAATCATCCAGATAGCTGACTTTTGCTATAATTGATGTCAGTTTTTATGGATTTTCTGCATTAAGTGTAGAACTAAGTGGCTTTTACATAAAGATAGTCAATTAGCCCCAGCTTGCTTCATGCCACCCCCAAGGTCACCGTTGTTACCTATCGCTAGAGGGGAGACTGGAGGACGAACTTGGCGTTCCCAAGCTTTGGTCAGCAGGAGCCACCAAGGGGTAAGAGCGGGCGGATGCGGCTAAAGAGAGCAAGGCATCTTCTGGTCAGTTTGCAGGCAGCCCCTCCTACACCTTCATCTCTGAACTATCTGGGAAGTAAACTGCTAGAAGAAAGATATAATAAAAAGGGAAAGTAACTGAATCGAGAGAGAAAGAGATATTATAGGATTGCCAGGAATAAATGTCATTGGACCCATGAAGAAGATTTGAAACCCATAGCTGAATAAATCAAATCCCTTATAGAAAAAAAAATTGTTAATTAACAGAAAGGAAAAAAAATGGAAACTAAAAAAAAAAATTTTTTTTTTCAAGAACCTAAAGAAGACAAAGTGACGAGTGAAAAGTTCCTTAAAAGCCATTGTGCGCTTTAATGGAGAGGCTAGAATTACAGATAATGTAATAAACCTTCTGTGAGTTATGGCTTCCTGAAAGTCTAAATGAAACCTTACCTGAAGGAGGAAAATTAAGAGTATTGATTGCATTTTACCCTTAGGTTTTCGAGACTGGGTTCCAAAGGAGCTTCAAAGAGTGGGCTGCGTGGAGCTTTTAAACACAGTCCAGAGGCGAGTCCGGCCCAAGCTCCATGTGTTTGGTGGAATTCATGAAGGTAAGACCAGAAGAAAGCTCAGGACATGACCTCATTCCACATTGGGGACCTTAGCTACCTTGGGAATAACAAGAGCTGTGGTTTTCAAACTTTTTTTTTTTACCAGTGGAACCATTTTATCGGATAAAATGTTAGGAGAAACACCTGCATATAAGCTAATAAATATTTTATATGGAGCTGCTCTCTTTTAAGCAGAGTGGGGTGGGAATAGGAACCCGGTCGGGCGCACCTTACAGAAAACCCAGCGTTCCCCCCAGGCAGCTTCTGGAATCTTAGGGCTCTGATGAGGAATGTTTGATAACCGTTGCTATAGAACAGCCCTGAAGTCATAAAAGATAAATTTTCTCTTAGAGAGCCAGAAGAAAATGGCCTGGATATTAGACTAAATAACATCTATGGCCTCTTTCTACCTGTAAATATTGTGTTGCATATGGAATATACACAAAGACCCAGGAAGACAAGATGTTCTTTAAAAAATAACTTTGGACATGAAATAAAATAAATAAATAAATAAATAAATATATATATATATATATATATATATATATATATATATATATATATATATATATATATATATATATATATATATATATATATATATATATATATATATAACAGACATGGCAGGAACTTGCAGGTAGACATTTTCTTACTAACCTCAGAAAACCATTTCAGACTTCTGAGAAATCATCAATACTATTAGCTCTGGCTGAGGTTAAACAGAATAATTAAATCTTCCCTACATGGCAACTGGTTCTGTTGATGCTTTTTGCCTTTCAAAGTAATCTGGAGTCAAGTTCACGGAACCTGAAAGTCTCCCAGGAACCTTGAGGGCTCTAGGTTTTGCCGTTGCCCTATTTGCAAACCAGGGGGAAGTGGGCCTGTGGATAGACTCAGAGCCCTCTTTCAGCAGGACTTAGATTTTCCTGGCCCCGCCGGACTCTCCCAGTTAGATATTTGTATGCGGTAGGGACATTTATGTAGGCAGCCACCATATTCTCTCCAGTTCCCACTTACATCTGTTTTCTGAAGTTGTTTATGAATCTGCAGTTGAGGTGTTTAGGTCTATGTACCTGATGAAGCAAAAAAAAAACAAAAAACCAGGTTTGCTTTTCAAAGCCCACAAACCCAGTGGCTTCCTGGTTAGGTGGGTAACAAAGAGCATATTGAAAATCATCCTGCTGAGGCCAGAGAAAGCTTTCTCCAAGTGCAGGCAGCAGCTGAGTGGATGGATGGAAAGCAGGGGTGTAGCTCCCCGTGAGTGGATGTCTTCCTGCCCTGACTTGAAGCTGTATTCCTTGTAAAGGAGGGCTGATGCAGGATTCCGAAAGGGAGGGATGGTAGCTCATGTCTAACTAGCATTTCTAGGGGCAGTTTTCAGGTTTGAATTCCTGCAGCATGCCTATCGGTTTACATTTCAACTTTTTTTTTCTAAATCATTAATTAAGTTTAAACTAGCCAGACAATTGGGGAATTCCACTGAAGTCCCAAAATAATAAACTTGCTTAAAAGGGAGGAGATCATATTCAAATAAACTTGTCTCAATTTTATTCGCTTAAGACAGCTGAAGAGGGCAGAGAGAGGGCAAATACTAACCTCCTGATGGAGAGAGATAACAAGACTTTCTGACCCTAGAACTAAACAGTGCACATTTTAAATGCCTCTTTTCTTTTCTTAAGAGATTTTTCCATTGACCCTCATTAAGCTCTCCGTAGGCTTACTTGGAGAAATTTTAGGAAAGGGAAAAAAAAATCTCATCAGTTATTTCTATAAGTCCTGGTAATCTTATTTTTTCACGGGCATATTTTTCTATGCCGTAAGAGCCTGATACCGACATAGAATTAGAAACTTAATTGTAGAGGTTATAAGGGAAATCTAAGGTCTCCAGGGAAATGTGCAAATTTGCAAACATGCTGAGAATTTCAAGATATTAAAAATTATAAAATGATCCTACATACCAAAGACCCAGAGAAACTTTCTTAGCTTTCTTCCAATAGGTCCCAAGAGATTTATCCTTCATATGGGAAGTGTTTTAGCTTGATCCAGTGTCCAGGTAAGCGTAGGAAGCAGTGGCCCATGATGATCTTTCTCCAAATCACTTGGACGTTTGATTACCTGACTCGTTTGAGTGAAATGGAACTCAGGGTCAAAGCCACGCAGTTCAAGCAAGATAAAATCACTTAGTGTTAATTTTCATTGAGGCAGTTTAGAGATTATTTCATAGATAAGGACGCTACACATCCATTTCTCCTGACTCCCAATGCAATCCTCTTTCCTTCTTCACTCATTCCGAAGCCAGTTGGGGGTTTGGATGTGTGTGTCCCTGAGGCATTGATGTTGCTCTTTGTGTCCCCCTAGAACTCAATAGTTAACTTTTACAGAGGACTTTGAAATGAAAATCATATTTTAAAACGAAGGAAATTTTCTTTTTTTTTTTTAATTTCTCACTAGGAAAGACATTACAGCCTTTTCTCTGACAAATCTAGTATTTAAATAAGGAAAAACAATCACTTTTCTTGGAAGTAGAGGTTTCTCCCTTTAAAGAAATAAAATTGGGAGGCAGCTTCTGAAAGCTATTCTATCTGGTGAGGCTCCATTGAATTTCATCTCACTACCCACTGACAAAGACTTCATGTTTTTTCTTTTCCTTGCCTGATGGCTCTGCATTGAGTCACTATTATTTGTATATATTACAGTAAGCGTGACACTTTCTCCCCACAGGTTACGGCATTATGACCGACGGTTACACAACATACATCAATGCCTCAACGTGTACAGTCAGCTTTCAACCGACCAACCCTCCAATTATATTTGACCTTCCAAACCCACAGGGTTCCTGAAGCTCTAAATGCCCAATTGGAATGTGAGGGAAGGTCTATAAACTGCCATTTTTCTAATTATAAACTTACATTCTCTTACTTGTTTATTTCCAAATCCTGTGTCTTTTTGTAAATTGCTGGAACACAAATGATGCTAGAGGTTGTGCTTCTTCTTTATTATTATTTTTTTTAATGGGGCATCCATTTGAAATCAGAGGAGCGTTGTGAATTTGTAAACTGACTTCTGTTTTCTTAAAGGCCACGCCATTGTAAATTGTTAGTGTTCGCCAAAGGACAGCCAAGCTTTCTTTATAAAAGGTGATAAAAGTCTTATTTTAATATGCTTTAAGCTGGAAGAAAAAGAAAAAAAGAAACAGGTAGGCAGTGTTTTAAAAACCACCCAGATTTGCACAACTGTTTTAAGAGTTTTGTTTGAACTATTTTAGTTTTTGATGTTTTGTTGTTGTTCTCTTGGTAATGCTTTTTTTTTTTTGCAGATGTGGCCCGGATTTATAGTAATCTTTTCAACAAAAGTAGGCATGGAAAAAGACTTCCCTTCACACTCTCACAATAGAGAAAGTTGTGTTAAGGGAAGAAAATGGCCCTCATTTAAAGGATGGCTTAGCTAGTGAGATCTATATTGTGATTCTACCAGGTCTCATTGTTTGTTTCTTTCTTTTAAATTATTTTAGCTTTAAAAATATGGAAATGGAATCTGTCAAGAGCAGGTATTTCATGCAGTTAAAAAAATGAGTGTGCAGACTCCTTTTCAATATGGGTTTATATATATAAATATTTTTTGTGTATTATGACTAAGTTAGGAGTTTAATATTGCCAAGGACTGTACAGCTGCAAAGGGATGCTGTATAGCAGGACATTGGACGTCCAAAGGGGCTGACACATTTTCTCAGAACTCAAGGTCTTAAAGAGCTTGAGTGAAATCTAGGTACAGTTACAGGTGTGTATAGACTTACATGGATGCAATGGAAGCTAACTAAAATAAGACTTAGTTGTCCTTTATATTTAAATACCTTGAATTGTCTTCTTACTTCCTCTCCCTCCCCCCATTTTGCACTGTGTGTCGATGCAATCTCCGCTAGCACAAAATATTGTCGCTAATAGTCTTTCTGTTTTCCCATTGTAAATGCTGTTGAGCTTTATTCTATTTTATGTTATCTTGTTAATGAAATTTAGGAAAGCAGTTGTTTCTTTAAATTTATTGTGATATTCTATATCTAGCGGCCTTTATATGCAAATAAAATTGCAAGATTTTTAAACCCGTGCTGTTTGGAGAGTTGGCTGTTGGGGAGGACAGTGATTTAGCCCTGGGGAAGGGGGGAGGTTTATTCATATGCAACACCAGTACTCTCTTTCAGAAGAATTAGAATAAGTGACATTTGTCTCTAATTTTCAATAATTTTTTATTACCCACCATTCACGGGCTGGCAGGTAGATCGATAAGGCACTCAGTGTACTCTTTCCTTCCATCACGCTGTCATCTATCTTGCCATAGATTTCAGAGGGTGAAGATTTCATCTTGGGCCGTTGTCATTTCTAAAGGAGCAGAGTGACCATGCAGTGGAGGCTGGGGGCTCTATTGTGGACATGTGAGTGGTAGTGAGAAGGCAAACCAGTGGGTACCAGAGGAAACACTACACAGTCTCATTTGTCCCTAGGAGCAGTTATCATCTCCCCCTCACTGGTTTTTTTAATGATTGTGCCACTAAAATCCTGTGGCAGCTGGAAGGCAGCAGGCAGTGGGATGGGGAAAGCTGTATTATGTGTCTTTTATTTTCTCTGGAAGAGCCATTGAAGAGAAGCAGCAATCATCCCAAACCTGCAATGTATCCCAAAAGTCTGCGTTCCAGCGCCCATTGGACTGTATTCGCACACATCTTCCTTCCTTCCTTCCTTCCTTCCTTCCTTCCTTCCTTCCTTCCTTCCTTCCTTCCTTCCTACCCATTGTCGATTCTTGGGTGAGAGTCCAGAAAAGAATTCTTGACTTCAGTACCAGCAGAATAGAAAGAATGCTCTAGGCCAGAATTCCAGCTCAGACTCACATGCAATGACCTTGGGCCATCGTAGTTGTTAATAATTATTAAGTGTCTCAGATGCCACCCAGAGCCGGTGGTGGACTCTTTGAACTTGCAGAGCAGGTGCCCCAGCTTCCCAGGCAGAGGTGGTCCCTGACCATAGCAGCTATGATGTACCGTGAGACATTAACAACCCTCCTCCGACCCGCTACAGCAGCAGATGAGGGTGTTGACTTCAGGTCCATCCCTAGGAGACGTGGAGCGAGACGTGGACTGAATGGAAATTCCATTCAGTTATACCGTACAAGGAGCTAGGCTCAGACTTCTGGAAAAGCAGGCTTTCCAGAGACGGGTGGCTGACCATGGTGACAAGTGTGCATGCACAGCCCTTGAAAGCACGTCTGATGCCAACTAATTAAGCTTAGCACTTACTAAAAATTGCTTTTCATTGTGTAGGGGCAGGAAGCAGCCCAGTCTGCAGAACCTCCAGGGTAGACTGGCTCATGGACAGAGCTTCCTTCTGCTGGTCCAGGTTCACCACTTTATATGCGTTAACTGCCTCCGGAGGGGCCAGAAGGACCGCCCAGAGGCCTGACGCTTTCTCCACTGGGCCTCATCACAGGAAACATTCGAAATAGCTCTCACAGATTGAGCACTTTCTGTCTTCCCATCAGCAGGCACCCTGCTGAGCAGGTCTCCTATGTTGTTTCTAATCCCACAGAACCCTGGGAGAGGTTAAATAAGCCCCGCTTCATAGATGGAAAACTAAGGCTCCAAAACTTGAATAACTTTCCCTAGGAAAACGGAAGGTTCCAAACCAGGTCGGTCTAACTCCATGACTCCTGCCTTTTTCATCACCCTGCCTGTGGAGCAGACATAAGAGCGGATATAAAACTGACGTGGAGCTGGGGACGTTGCCTATCCCTCATGTTGGAACTGCCGAGGGCTTTATCACAGCATCACGTCAGCACAACACAGTGGATGAGAACACAGAGCCTAGAGCCATCATGCCTGCTCGTCCTGGCTCCACCGTGAACTAGCCTTTGGCTGGGTACTTACCATCTCTGTCAAATGCGGGTGCTGATAAAGTTGTTGTAAGTTGTTATACGAGTTGATATGTGGAGATCACCGCCTGGCATCCCGTAAGTGGTACACGTGTGTTTATTAAATAAGGTGCCCCGGACTGCCCTGAGATTCTCCAGGCAGGACCTGTCTTGTGGACTCCTTACCCTAAAGAGCACGAGGGCATTGTTTCTGAGAAAAAAATGTGTTTGTGTGCATTCCTTGGAAACTGCAGTAAACCTCTCTTCATCAGAATATGAAGAACCCTAAGGGAATTTGCGAGATGCAGATAAGAGAGTCTGACTTTTCAGTTTGGGTATCATATTTTGCCAAATCCCTTCTAATCTCAGAATAGGAAGGGGCTGTCCTCTTTCATGTTGCTTTAAAAGGCACCTTTGGATCTCAGCATCTCTCTCCCCTCCGAGTCTTTACCTTCCTTCTCACCATCTCCTTCAAGCTCCATTAGTGAATGTTTTTCTCTACATTTTCTTCCAATCCCCTTTTGTCTTATAAAGATATTGGTGTTGGGGGGTGGGGGTGAGGGGATCGCTGAAATCCCCTTAAGAGGCAGGTCACTGTGACTCTGACAGGTGGCCAGCATTAAGCCTGCCTTCATCTCCATCACTTAAGTAAATAAATACTGTGACCCAGGTCTTAAGTAGGGAGAAACAGAAGCTTGGAGGATTTGGGATTTGTCAATTGCAGATAAAACACTTGCTGTGACCAGAATAATGCCCCCTCCCCCAACCCTCGTTCAGTGAGGAAATGCTGCTTTGGCAGAGTGAACATGCACGCATTCGTTTGCTTTCCCAGTATCTTTCCATGCCCTAGTCTCTTTTCTAAGAGTCTTAAGGTACTTTTTGTTTAATTACTAAAGTGAATTAAGGTCTGCTTTGTTTTGAGAATTTGACTATGAGATGAGACATTTGGGAACACTGCTGAGCATGGGGCAGGAGGCAGCTGTGAGTGTTGAGGGTTCCAGGACTGGGCAGTCTGTACTTCTCTCAGTCTTAATGGGTGGTTTCACAGAGGGCTTCAGGCCCATTTCTGTATGCCAGCTCCTTAATACAAAACGTTTTTTTCTCCTTCTTCCTAATGAAGTAGCAGGCTTACTGCATGTGTGCCCACTCCCCAGCATGGCTCTTGCAGAAGTTTAGAGCTACTTTCCTTTTCTTTCCAAGGTGTCAGCTCTACCTTTCTGTTCTGATCCTGCCTGCCCATGATTCAGAAGCCTCTCTGAGAAGTCTTCCTCTTTCCTGGTGCCCATGTAAAGTCAGCCTCTCCAGCTCCTGAGAAGCTCAGAGAGGGTCAGTGGCACCACCATGGTCACAGAGCAAATCCAAGAGATAGCCCCATATTGGTATTGGGACTCTCAATTTTGAGCACAAACTGCTTTTTCAGCTTGACATTCAGGAATAATTGGATGGGGAGATCAGTTTGGTCAGACATAATGTGATTTTGTAGCAGAGAACCAGCCACTTATCTGTGGCTTATTATTAAACCAAATTATTTGAAAGAAACCTCTGAATCTGACCTCCGAATGTTCCCATGAGAGTTGGCTTTCTTTCTCTTCAACCAGTTCATCTTTGTATTGTGTTTTAATATACATGTTTATGTCCAGTCTGGAAGACACTGGGTGTCAGTCAGAGCCCCCAGCTTTGGAATCAGACCTGTTTGTTTTCAGGTCCCAGCTACACCATTTACCATCTGGATAGCTTTGGGTGGGCTGCCTTAATTCCTGGACTCCACACCTGTATAATGGGGATAATTCCCACCTCACAATGGATTTGTCAGAGTGGATATGATAATATCAGTAGGGTCCTGGGCCCAGCGAGCTATTATAATAAATAGAAGATGTTATTATGCTGTCAATCATAAGTCCTTAAAGAAAAATAAGAACAACAGCAAAAAGAAGCATGTGGTTTATTTTTCTCTGTTAGAGCCCTTTGTAAGAGAAAGTGAATTCCTTGAACTAGACTGAGTCAGGGTAGTGGAGCTGCAAACCCAAGTCAAACATAAATTAAGCTCTTTAAATTCCTGTCTCTCTCTTTGAACTACCTGATAAAACATTTGTGGTGGGTTCTTCTCCACTCCTTCTCGTTTCCTTCCTGAATTAGGGATGCCTTACAAGACAAAGATCTTGAGGTAAATGGCCTTTCATATCCGAGAGCATCTATATCTGGGTAATGGCGAGAGTGAGAAATGCATTTCCATTAGGAAGCACAGCCACAGGGGTACTAAAAGCACAGACAGACTAAACACACGAAGGCAGAGAGCCCGCTCCCATCAATCAGCTTTGATTTTTATGAAGCCACAGCTACCATGAGGTGCATCCGAATGCTCTCAGAGCCCGCTTACCAAGGGAAAGGGCCTGTGATTTCATAGCCCGTTTCTGCCCTGACCTCAGTGGATGACCTTGGGAATAGGTGGAGCTTTTCAGCAGAAGCTCCTGAAATAGCAAACGACTTACAACCCAAGTGTCCCATGCTTGGGCTTCCTGACATGTCCGCACACAGACACCAGCTATAATGCGCAGTTAACAACTTAATCTTAAAGGAACTGTGTTTCCTAGAAGCCTTCCCTGAACCCCCCTACCCAGACACAGAATACTCCCCTTTGTACCGCTTTCACCCGCACCACCTGACCCTGACCACGTTCTCATTGTTGCTTGTCTGTGTGTGAGCTCCCTGAGGTCAGCGACCAGGCCTTCTATCTCTGTGTTCCCAGCATCTAGGGCCAAAGAAATGCTTTCTTAATGAATTAATCAGTGTTTGCAGGGTCTGTGAGAAAGACAGGAGAAATTAATCACAGATGAAATCAACAGATAGTTACTGAACACTATAAGCCCAGGGCTGTACTAACTAGTAAGCTTCATTTGTAAGACTTAGATATTGCCAAGAAAGGTTCGTATAACTTGGGGAAGAAAACAAGATATTGACACACGAAGTTAAATAGCAATAAGAGATTTCAATAAGAGTTCAAGACAGCAAAAAAATGAAAGTTGGGGTCTGTGATACACAGGTTTCTCCAGCTATGTGAGTGGCCATCATTATGGGGAAATGCAAGCGGGGGTATAAGTCTCGGGCAAGCACAGGCAGCTAACCTAGGAAAGGGAGTCTGAGTGATAATGATAATGTCAATCCATGCAGCTTTATTCCTGCAGGAGAAAAACTGGTCTGGCCAGTGGCAATTTCAAGTGTGTCACGTAGCTGGTTTGTTTTCTTAATTTACTCTATGAAATGGTTTTCTCTAATGGCATGCCATTGACGAAATGCACCATAATGTCTCCATCCATCACCTCCAAATGCTTTTGCATGCATCAGTTGTTGACTTGTTTTCTCCCATTCAGCACATAAATGAGAGGAATGATTTATCCAAGGCCACCAGTTACTCTTATGTGGAATCTGAAATAGCTCTCTGGAGAAATACTGCCCTGAGCACATGTTTCTTTATGCTGCTCTGAACTTGTATTGAAGGGTGACTTTGGCCTGAGCTGCACTGATATCCTCCTGACCAGTGTTTTGTGGGGAACTGGTCCAGTTTGTCCCTTGTGGCCTGGAACTTTCAGAGGCAAGAGCTTGTATTCCTGTGGGTGTGACCGTTAGGGTTGGATAATGAGGTGTGGAAACCAGGGATTTAGTTTTTGATGCTGTGTGGGAACAAGCAGTGTTTCCCCATGAGCTCTCTGAACCTCACACCCACCAGGAAGGGAATGGGTGTGACGTCTATAGTGTGCTTCCTTTCCTCCTTTCAACTCGTCCCACTGCCTTGAACTCCATCTGACATGCAGGAGACATGTGGCCCCTACATCCTCAGAGTTTTGCATAGATCAGTAGATGAGAAATGGAAAATAAATCAGAGCATCAAGATAATTCTTATCTTCTCAAGATTCCTTGAGAGAAGGCAGAGTTTGGAATTCCCTAAATAAGCTCTGGTACTGATTCAAACACGAGAGGGGCCACTCCACAAAGATTTGTCTTATTTGATGATGGTAATAATGAAGATAAAGGGTTTGAAGCAAAAATAGGACAGAGATCCTAGAAAGTTAAGCACAGTATGCCTATCTGTAGCATTAATAAATTTTTGCAAAATTTGAAATACCATGCTTACTTTCTTCTTTATCTTTAAAAGTTGAGAGATATAACTTGGAGGTTTTCATCTGAGGAAATTTGCTTAAATCAGTTTTATAGAAATAAGAAAAATAATGATACTTGTGACACTTTGTTTCTGCATTAAAATATCTCTGGTGAGAGAGAGATAATGAATGAATGTGTATGTGTGTCTACTTCAACAATACTATATCCAACACATAATAAATTAACTTGTTTTCTTGACTGGCTATATTTCTGGAGTCTAATGGCATTGAAATAAGGTATACAGAAGGATAAGGATTTTTTTTACGTTGTTTTCTAAAGGGCTGAATAATCACAATAAGAAGGCTACAGCTAGTCATATGACCACTGGTTGCAATGGGAGCGATATGTAGGTTTCACAACTTATGAATGGAATCCGTCTATTCTGAGAAGATCCTGAAACTATAATAGAGTGGATGGGCATTGCATTTCTCTTGCATTTGTATTTAATAGATTATCTTCCCAGAGGAGGGTGAGGTCTATGGGTACCACATCCAGGAATAGCCGTAAAATGTGTTTGAGTTCAGAGATTATGCAGAGAAGTTTACTCAATAAAAAGTTAAGCTGAGGGCAGGGGAATGGGAATACGAAAGAGACGACGCAAGAGGTCCAGGTTCAAAACCGACTGAACCTTTTGATTCCCCAAGTCAATGAACATGTCTTTTGATCACTTACTTTCTCTGAACTATGAATTGATGGATTTACCTTCTCAGCTGTTAGGACACCCTTGAAGAAAGGGGCCAAATGAGTAGCCTGGTTGTTTCGTTAATATGAGATCTGCTGGATTTTATAGGGGACCAGGAGAACTGGACTTCTCATCACAGTCTATATGTGATAGATTTTTCCAACATAATACAGCGGCACGTGGGACACTGTTTCGTGAGACCATTACTCTTAAAGAAGACTTTTCCCAAGAAAAAAATTATGTATCTCCAGTGAAGTGACAAGATGCAGCTATTCCAGCTATACTTGTGGATTCAGCAATATCCCATTTATTGATGAATATTTATATTCATGCCAGTAGTGTTGTGGTTGTTGGTAGTATTTGCAGTAAATAGCTTGGCTGGGATGCTGAGGACATCACCTACTGCTCTTAAAGCTCAGCATTCTCAAAGCTATTTAAAGAACCCCTTCATCACCACCACTTTGGGCCAATGTTAAAAGCAATTCAATAGAGGCATTCTCTTTTCATAACCCCCCAAATAATTATTGCTGACCTAGAGGCATTCTGGAGGGAGATGTATGTTGGACATTTTTTTTCTCATATGGAGTTCCTTTTCATCTGAAAGTTTTGTAAAATTATAGTTGTCATTCTTTAGCTGAATCTATGTACAATTCTTTTAGTTTGTTAGGAAATGTTTCTACTGCTTACTTACCTGAAGTCAAAAATGTTCTGTTTTAGTCCTCATTTTAGGAATGAGGCTTGGAAGTGGGATGGCACACCCAATAGCTAATCCTTTCCGGTGACTTTAGTGGCCAGTAACATACACGTGGGGAATGTTAGACTGAGGGCAGGGATGCAAATATGTACCTCTACAGCCATGCACCAGGAAACTAATATTTATCATATGGCCACTCTATGTCAGGTATTCTACTTAGCACGAGGTCAGTCCAGAATTGGGCCGAAGAGAGGCTCCAATCAAAGCCTTAACCACAGTGGTCTAGCCTGCATCATGTTTGCCTCCAAGGGACCTGTATGAGAACCAGTAATGCTACCCTGTTTGCTCCACTGCTGTCCTATAAAACACAGTCTCAGTCTTCTGTAGGGATTTTTGCAGACCATGGCTTATATTTCATAACTTACTGTTTTGGCCATGATGTGTACAAACAGGAAACGGTATCAGTGAATTCACTGAAGAATGTTTGATGATGAATATCATTCACTAGAAAAAGAAATGCACACAAAGTAATTGACCTTTGGACCGTTTATTTAGGAGTGCATGTCTGAAAGCCAGAGAAGTGTAGCTAATGTTAAATTTCAGAAATTAAAGTTTTAGGACTTTTAAATTTTCATTGTTTGGATAATATGTACATCTTAAAACAAGACGATGAGTGCACACTCTATTCTTCAAGGATTTAGAACTTCTCTGGCTAATATTAACATTGGGATCTGCAAAGTGATGTTTAAAGGGCACCCAAATAACCAAGAATGAAATATATCTCCCATGGACAAGGGACTTGACTATTGTAAAGATTTTAGACAGTTCCTGAACTTTCCCACAGTTTTAGGGTGCCTCCCTTTTCTTCCACGTCAGTCTAAAAACCTCTCTACAAATATGTCTCTCTAATTACAGTCAGAGAATTAACTATAAACTCAAGACTTTAATATTTCTCCAGTACAGTGCTGAGTTTCAGGACTGTATTTGTCAGGGTTTCATATATATATATATGAAACACACACATATATTCGTGTATATATATACACACACATACATACACATATATATGCATGCACACATGTATGTGTGTATACACATGTATCATATATCTGATATATATAAATATATATAAACACAAATATATATAGAACAGAGATATCTGTATATCGATTTAATATATAGATACCTGTTTACATATTTTTTTCAGAAATTTTCTATTCTGTTTAAAAATGATATCTTAAAGGTTAGAGATTATGATCACAAAATTTGATATCCACAATTTTAGTTCAACCATTTTTTTTTAAACTCTAGTGAGGTCTTCTTCTCTGCAAATGAAGCTTCTCTAATCTTTGCCCATTGTCCATCTACACATGAGTAAATATGTTAAACTGTTCGTAAAATGATAAAATAATTCTGAAGATAAAAGCAAAATGAGTCTTACAGAGACACGAAACAGTACATTACATTCTACTCTGGGTAATGCCTGCCAACATTCCAGAGGCCAGAGATTTGATGAAATACAAGTTTTAAGGTTGGGAAGACATGATTTCTCCCATGAAGAATTCCAGTTCCTTGGGATGGGAGTTTAATTCTAGAGGAAAGGCAAAACATATAATTTTT